CACATTTCTTTTCTGTTTTCTTAGTTTATCAAGTTGATACTAAATAGCTAAGAAATAAAGGGAAACGTCATCCAGACCTGCACGGAGTGGAATAAGATTGGAATAGTGCAATGTAATTTGTGTGACTAGAAGAAAAAAAACAGGAAGAGAATATAAATCAGCCTGCAGGTAAGATGCCATGATATCCGCCTCATGCGAACCAATGAACACGGTCCACTGAATCGTGTAGTTGCGCACATGCCCATTATAGCTGACGTCAAAGAGCGCCAAATTCAGCATTGAAAGAGAATCTGTTGCACGTGTACCAACCGCCAAAGTGAACCTTTGAACTTGAGCAAGAGACATGAAACTACACGATACACCACCAGCTAAACCCTTATTAGAAAAAGGTCCAAATACAATTGGGAGACATCGAACCTTGACGTATAGGTTCATGCGTATACAAAGTGGCCCCCAAATCTGACTAGGATACTGCCAATTACGCGGGACAAATTTCACCGGTATACCACAGGATGCAGATTAATATTTTAAGAAGAAAAATGATAACGAACATGCCAACAATAATTGAGTAATTCATTTGCACTCGTTTATTTTGTTGCTGTTGTTGTTCTAGACGCATTTTTGTGTGAAATAATGTCAAAGACATTCACTGTCAGTGCTCCTTGCAGCATAAAATAGCTTTTCATTGATACACAATGTGTATTATATTATATCCATGTACTATGTTGGTTCCGTAATATAGTAGATGTATTTCACACAATATGGGTTAGGTCATATCGATTTTATTATGATATTATTTTTGGTTGAGTTGCTCTCATATGCCCATGTATTCTATGCTCGGATTCAATGTTTATTAATGCATTCTTTTGTTTTTACAAAATGTAAAGTGCATGGGGAACTCTACGAATGCTCATTTTCCATCAGATTCAGATTTTATTGTCCACGTTAAAAAAACACAGAAATTTGACATCCACTGGCAGGAGATAACAATGAATAACATAAGAATACATAAATGTGCACAAAACAAATACACAATTAGAATAACAAACAGTTGAATACATTCTGACAAAAGTAAGAGAAGGTAGCAGGGTAAGATGAGAAAAGGAATGAAGGAAGCTGAGCAAGAAAAGACAAGAATGTAGGTTAGGGAAAGAGAGAATAAAAACCGCTTGCATAACAGTTATTATGACTCCAAACATCTGCTTTACTAAAGGTAAAAGGTAAAAAGGCAGCCCTTTGTGTGTATTAGCTCAATGTTATGCTTATGCTTGTTTGTTTTTAAAACTCAAGTCCATTGCTCGTGTACATTGAAAACAAAATCAAACAGATGTATTTGCAGAGTATAACATTATTATTAGTTTCAGAAATGTTATTATGCCTAGCTTTGGGAAAGCTGTAATAAAAGTCAAGTTGAACACAAGCATAGATATTCAAGGCATATATATATATATATATACAATCATATTAAATTACTTGTTTAACACAGACGTGAAATTGGACAAATTATTAAAACACGCAGTTTTATTGGCACAAGACGAATTTGAACTCCTACCCTGCGTCAAAAAATGCTCCCTATATTCTATAACCAAACCCCTCTTCTTAATTGTCCTTCTTGGTATCATATTTCATGCTAAAAGATTCTTCTTCCGCCGATACAAATGAACTTGACCCCACGTTTTTGGAATGACACTAGTCTGCTTTATTTTGGCCACCCTGTAATACTCTGCAAATACAACTGTTTGATTTAGTTTTTAATGTACACGAGCAATGAACTTGAGTTTTAAAAAAAAGCTACAGGCATAAAATTGAGCTAATACCCCTCACAAAGGGCCCTCGTAAATGCATTTAGGCGCAAACTTGGAAGCCCCACATGGCTATCACATGGTGAATATAACAATGGACCTAGTAGGTCTATGATACACAACAAAAGAAGTGTTTTTCATCTTCAAATGAATTACGATCACACAGAGATAAGCGGCGCTTTAGAAAATGGTCTTCGAAGCGTTGTGCCATGTCCATGTTTATACCTCCCACAAAAACATCGTGGTAATGGGGTAGCCTACTTTGTTGGGAAGGGGTCAAGTTGGCGGTGAATTAGAGGTACCGATGGACACTCGAAATGTCAAGGGTAATTTGAGGGGAAATCCCACCCCTTCCTGACAAACAGACTAGATATTGCTCCCCCACACTGACCTCTACCAGTTCTCCACTGACCAGCAAATACGTAAATGGCGGTCAATATTGTGTTTGAAGCATGAATGCGCGATAGCTCAGTAGGTAGAGCACTGGTCTCATAATCCGGTGACCCGGGTTCGTAACAAAGTCGATGCTAGTGACCTTTGGTAAGGCATTAATCCTCATTACCAGGTCCCTCAGAGAGGACCTAAAGCCGTCGGCTGCTTGGTTGCTTACTAACAAGCATTTATGCTTTCTTAGCAGCCAATTAGAACTACAATTAATTAAACTGTCTAAAAGCCTAGTCATATTTTTTTTTAATAGAACATTAAATTTTTAAGATATTGTTCAGGATCCTTTGTTACTCTAGCATTGACCAAATGTGGAACAGAAAATATAAGGATGAAGGGACATTCTTCCTTATTTTACAAAAAACGTTCGTGCATGGAATTAAATGAAGCATATAGGCTTATGTATAATTGGTTTCATCTGAAAAGGTATTAAAAAACGTACAACTCTTTTACACAACATGTAAGTCGTGGATAACGAATTGCAGGTGTTCGAATAAATAGCCTTTATTTCCCATTTTCAAAGCATACTTCCACCTGTGTATCATGGAGGGCACTGCTTGTGCATAAATAAATAATGATTACATAACTTTCATGAGCACGTATCCAGTATTTTGTCTCTACATGTATTTCACAATTTGTTCTGCAATGACCTTTATCTGCTCACGTTCAGACTGCAACCGTGAACTGGCTTATTCTCGGGTACTATAGACGGTGGTCTCTTCCTAACATGACAAAAGAGAAAGAATAATAAGTAAATTTATTCTGAGACCAATCATAAAATCATCATGACTATATATAGAGATCCGGTTGTTTTGACGTGTTGTATATACAACCATGAAGAAGCTAACAAATGCATAAAACATGTTTTCTTTTTCCTCATGAAATCCCGAACAATGTTCGAACATTCCCATGCAGAACCTAACCATGTCATGGAGTGACAGACTCTTCATCATTTTTGTTCATGACACGTCCTCGTGATCGTGAATATCACCTAACTCTACAAAAGGTCTTTATTATAATTGCAACGGAGCAGTCGCTATAGAAGGGGGAAGTGATACGATTGTTATTTTAAAAAGATTTATTGTATTTTGTAACTCAAGAAATCAGGTAAATCTCATTTTAACCGGGCATTTTAAACCATGAAGCATGTATTGACCTCTTGACGTTTGGATCGGTATTTCCTGCACTCTGTCTGCACCCATCTCCATCTCCTTCTCCTCATCATCATCGTCGTCCTCCACGACATTCCCCGCTCATCATGGCAGACATCGACATCATTCAGCAACTACGAGGTCAATACCAATACCCGTCACCCGGAAGACGCTCACTACCTGATGACCACGGTGCGTCTTTCACTGGTGGACCACAATCGACATCGATGACATCGGGTATGAGTAGGGTGTCGAGTAACACCGGATCACCGGCTCGATCACCAGTTAGTCCTCACAATGTGCCCAATATGTGCCTTCCGACGATGCCGGTGTACAACGCTCGGACGGCGAGGAAGCTAAAGGAAGATAGACGATCATCGACAAGAACGGTAAGGTTATTATATGCACGCTCATGAATTTTGATGTGTTTGATGTAAGGGCGTTGATTTCGTCATCCAGCTTGTTGAGAGGCATGGTACTACCAACGATTACACTCGCTGACCTCCCTCTGACACCCTTCTCCGCTCCATTGGCAGGTAAACTCTAGGTTTTGAGTTTCCATTACATGGGTGTGGCCTCTGATACTCCCCCTCACATACCCCCCTCACATACCCCCCCCCCTCACATACCCCCTCCCATATCCCTCCCATTCCCTCTTCTCATATCCCCTCCCCCGTGCCTCAGTCAGCGTTACGTCTGCGCAATAATTTAACTTTGTCAGAATAGACGTACCTTTGTTGATATCTTAGATTGTTATTGTATATTTCTTTTTATTGTAACAATTTCTTAAATTTGCTTTTATATATATATATATATATATATATATATATATATATATATATATATGTTTTATTTTTTATTTTTACAAAGAACTCACTTCATTGTTATAAGGGGCAGTGCACTGGGCGTGTACATGCAATAAGGGTTGTGAATGTTATGCCACCTTCTCAAGAAACAAAATTAAACAAATGTTATTATGGCGTACAAATGTACTGACCACTATTGTTTTATTGTCCAGTTCACATGGAATGCAGTATAGACATGATAGAAGTTGAACCAAGAAGGAATGCAATATAAATACATGTAAATATTATAATGCAAACACGTTAATATTGTTTTCGACGCGTAATACTTTATAAGAAGAGTTATATCCTTCCGCTATGTATAACCAGTATTGTTTTGTTTTCCTTAAGCCTTTTGAGGTAGGCCTATACTTATTTTTCTTTACATGTAGCTGTTGTGCTTGTAACTTAATCAGAGTTAGGTACCTTCGACACACAATTCTCCCAATATCTCTTATTATATCACTCTTTTGAAATAGAAAAAAAGTAAAAACAAGACACAATATAATACATTATTATGTGCGACGTGCTGCACGGAGCAACAGCTGATTGCCGAACTCGAAACCTGATTGGTCAAAAGCAAAGCCTTTTTATCACCATTGAACAGCGTGTTTGCCCAGAATCCTGGTCTACTCATGGTGATCACATGTACACCACGCTGACTATACCTTACCATTACCCTCATTACCATCACAAAAGAAAGGGGTGTGTCCATAATTTCAATGAAATTACCGGCTTGATATAGAGCCGCTGGTAGATTCTTTATCATTTTCCACATGAGGCTTGGCGCGAGTAGACCGGACGCCGAATCAACGTTTGACTCAGAAAAATCCGCCAGGAAGGGGAAAACACTGTCACTCCTCGCAGCAAACCAAATTGAAATTGCACCTTTCCTAATTTGATATCCATAAAGATTATTCTTTTCAACTTTCGTTGATTGAGCTGAACTTGATAATGGTGAGTACATAATTCATGAACAAATTTTGATTGGGAAAATTTTGAGCATATAAAGTATGTCTTTTCCACGTTTGTTTAAAAGTCTCTTCTCAAAACTTCATCCACCGACTCGTACCGAGTCATAATATTGATATCTTAGCTTATATGAAAATATATCATGTTAATGTCATTTTATTGGGGATTTAAGACGGTACCATTACAAATGTACCCTAAACAGGTTGAATGTATATCAAGAAAGCTAAGAAGTGTTATACTTATAGGAGTCCTTCAGTATTTAAAAGAAGTAAGGCCGGCATCTCATTTTCTGGAAGTCCAAACGCTAGACGTCCAATATTTGTTTTTTGACAAAGCCAAATGTCCTAAATTATTGCAATTAATGTACCTACAGCATCTCTTTTTCTTCAGTTATTTTTTATTATCATGTATGATCATTTTAAGCTTCTACAAATTGCCGTCGTCTTCTGATTTCCTCCTGTTAATTATTTTAATTCATTTCTATTTTTTATATTATCCTTTTGGTGAACGCATTATTTTGTTACACTCGTATCAAAGCAAAAATTATGGTACTCTTGGGCCCTGTTGCTATATACTACCACTGATGGTAACTTTGCCATCAATGTTAAATACCATGGCAACAACGCTTAATAACCAATCAAATCAAGCTTTTCATGGAAGTTACCATTAATGGCAATTTTTCTATGAATCGTATAGAAAAAGGCTGAATAGAAACCGAATTCCAAATATCTACCAATTCTGGTTACACGCAGTTTTGTATCTTTAATGTCCCAATGTTTAAAAATGTATGTCTTTTATGTCTGGGCAGGTAGGTCCGAAAATATTTAGCCCGATTATGTAGAGTTTAACATGAACACCGGATCTCCAAATGAGATAGCTATACAAAGCTAGCTGCTTAATCCTGCATGTCCACGAGGGGAGAGAAAATCTCTCTTTGTGTTCATTAAGTGGAGGTTAAATATCTACCAACTCTGGTGCTACTTGTCCCAATGTTAATCAATGTCTATTATGTGTATGGGTAGATAGGCTTGAAAATTGGCGTAAAGTTGAAAGCCCCAAATGAGCTAGCTGTGTAACCCTGGTCCGGGTGAGGTGAGGGGGACCTCTGCATGTTGAGCGCACAAATGGCGCCAACTCTTTGTGTTATGCAGGTACAGTGTAGTTGCAGTGCTATACGCTACGAATGGCGCCAATTGTGTGTGTGTGATGAAGATATAGTTGCAGTACTATACGTTACAGAATCTCTTTTTTTGGGGGGGGGATTTAATCTAAATTTTGGAATGTCACTAGTTGGATTATGCCAGTCCGGTAGACTAATGTTTGAAATGAACTGAACGTTTGCTGAATGTAAATTACATGGTTTTAAAGAAGCTTCGACTTTACCACATGCTTCATCAAGAATGTGTCTATACACACACCACATGCTCGTGTATAGAGGAGTGCAAACTACATTCTTGATGACCTTTACTTTTGATCAATCAGGCAAATACGGAGAGGATTCTATCTTCATTTTGTCGTTAAAACCCCTATTCATGATAATCCGCAAGATTTTAGTTTCTTCTTTGAATGCCTGGGGCAACAGATATGACCTGCATTCCTCTTCCAAGACTAATTTAGAGTTTAAACTTGAAGTTATTTACATGTATTTATTTATTTATTAAGTCTTCTTTTACCACGGTGGCTTCATCGATGATTTCAGCATTGTTTTACCAAATCTAAAGCTCTGTAAATCTATTTAAACAAATTTGAACAGTATATGATACAAGATACAAACAAGGATAATCAAACGGTTAGAAGCAAAGAAATATACAAGACAAAAATAGAAAATTGTTAATTCAGCGATTAATTTTTCAACCATATAATAAATGTATTTAAAGATTATCCAACTAAAAATATTCTGGAATGTGATGGCTATAACATCAAAACTAAATATAGATCCTGATGTAGTCATTCCCTTTATTATCTCTCTAAATTATTCCAATTGAATACAATTTTGGGTTTACACATTGTAAAAAAAAATATATTTCGACTCATATCTCATATACTTATTGTAACTTCGATGTAGAAAAAAAGCTGCAGAAGTAATAACATGTTAAATTTATACGACTATACAATATATTACCATGGAGTTTACCAATGATGTAATTAAGAGTACGGATTTTATAATTTGTGGACTATTCAACTGTCACTGTGACCATGGCGATCTATTGTTTGTTTGCTATACCTGACTGATTAGAAAGCATTTGTATGCTTTTAAGTAAAGCAACCAGGAAACAAACGGTTTTAAGTAATGAAGAGTAATGTTTTACATAAAACTGCAAATAACTGTCCGTTTTGTTCTCTTTGAAATGATCATTTAGAACACTAAGTTCAATATAATAGGAGAGAAAATATGATACTCAACCAGTCCACCCTTTATTCTTCAGTTACGAAAAATAAACAACACCCCACCCCCCACAACAAAATACCAAACAAAATAGATGGGGTATGAACAATTAATTGTAAACTGTACATTTTAGTTATATGGTATTCATCATGATTCAAATTGTCTAATCATCGAAAAACATTTCATCCCCTGTGCAGGCGTCAGAGAAAGCAGCAGAGAGCGGGTTAGACAATGTGAACACGATGGAGAATGGTGGAGTCATTCCTGACAGCAAGGATAAAGATGATCCCTGGGATGTCGCTCTAGGGGAAATCAATCCAGGAACAAAATGGAGTGGTGAGTTTGTTTGATTGTTTTTTTGCTTGTTTGTTTGTTTTACCCGACTGATATGATAGTATGTGTATACTCGTAAATAAGCAACTAGGAGACCGACGGCTTTAAAAGTCCTCTCCGAGTCCGAGGGACTTGGTAATGAGGATAAATGCCTTTCCAAAGGGCACTGGCACACTGACTTGATTTCGAGCCCGCGACCTCTCAGTTACGAGACCACTGAGCCATCATGCCTTCTTCATCTGTCTTTTCAATTCTAAACAAGTGATCCTACATTTGCTCAGGCAGCAATCGCTCTAGACAAAAACCAGCTCAAGAGCAATTTCAATACGCTTGTAAGTTGTACGTCATGTATTTGTGTCCTGATTACGTAAAACGTCTTTGTCATGTTCGCCCATTTAAATAGGTGTGACGCACAGGACTATTGAACGAACTCGACTCGAGTTGATTTCTAAAAGTTGTTGCTCCAATGATCGGATTTATTTCGTTATAAGTATAGGGATACAATTGGGATTATGTTAGGTTTAGGATCAGCATAAGGGTTTGTAGCTATTGTAGTTCTTTACTGAGTTTTAACACCCATGTGTCTGAATCGTGTTTCAATAAAAGTAAATCAAGACAATTACATTGAAATGATCCACTACCTCCATAATTACCTGAGGTAGTCTTTTATGTTGTAATTTTGCTTGATCTTCATTGTGAAAGTAACACTTTTTGGTTCTCTTGCTTTGTAAAAAAAAAAAAAATGTACGATGCAAAATGTAGTATGTCAATGCAACTTTTGTAACTTGGAATGGTGGAAAATGAGCCCAATCGAAACTCTTTTGATTTTGTTTCTTCTGATTCATTTTGGTTGGTCGATAAAACCTTGCAAAAACTTAAAACGATCATCTTGCAAGTTTGTATTTTTTGTTTTCTCCATCCTCAGAGCGCACAGGAACCGGTAAGGTCATCTTCATTCTACAGTCCCTCCTTAAACTCCTCCTCCTTCTCGGATGCCTCTATCTCTTCATCTGTGCCCTGGACTTCCTGGCAACTGCCTTCAGACTGCTCGGTGGTGAGGCCGCGGGGGAGGTGCTACAGAACAGCGAACTCCTGGCGAATCCCGTTTGCGGTCTCATGATCGGCGTGCTCGTCACCGTGCTCGTACAGAGCTCCAGTACTTCCACGTCGATCATCGTATCTATGACGTCAGCTAGAATTAGTGAGTATTCCCAATTTTCATCACGTTTTCTTTGTAAAATTTTCTGATTTGTAATTATAAAAGATATACATTTTGTGTAGCAATGATTAAAAACGAAGTAAACTGGATCCCCAGAAAGTGACAGGGGTGGAGTGAGTTGGGTAAGGGAAGTTTGCAGGTCAGAATGTACATTTCAGTTGACAGAACGGTCGACTGCCAGTAATGAAGATTATATTTTATAATGTTTTTTTTATAGAAATTCAAACGGGCAGTATACACCGGCCCATCATAAGGAAACGCCACCGATGATAATGGTTTCAAATAGACGATGGTGATGACAATTTTGACGTATTGATAACACTTACATTCATTTTTCTCCTCTCTCGAACAGTTTCTGTGAGGCTGGCCATCCCTATCATCATGGGTGCCAACATCGGAACTTCGGTTACAAACACCATCGTGTCGCTAGGTCAGGTAAAGGAGAAGAACGAGTTCCGTCGTGCATTCGGTGGTGCCACGGTCCACGACATGTTCAACTGGTTGTCGGTGCTCATTCTCTTACCCCTGGAAGTGATCGCACAACCCCTCTTCCGACTCACTTTACTCATCGTCGAAAGCGCTGGAATTGAGAGAAACAATGTCAAGATCGAAATACTGAAAGTCATCACCAAACCGTTCACCAACTTGGTTATTAGGGTAAGAATGAAATCATTATATCAATAAATGATAGTATTTGTACATTTGAGTATTCGGTATCAGTGCTAAGTATCTAGTAACGTCATTCTAGAAGGCAAACACCAGTGACAATTTCATTTCAAAGCGGGCACCACCCTAACTATTGTCCGAACAGCTCCATTCAAGTGGCTAATTAGCTCATTGAGAGTTTTAAAAGATAATTTTGCATGATATTTCCTTGAAACCCTGGGTATAAAACCACCTATCAGAAGTCTGAGCTTGAATTCAAGAATGTTAAAGGTTATGATGGTGAATTGAGGAAAGGCAGGCGTAGACGGATTAAACAAATATATCAACGGAATTAAAAGAATACATTGTTTATTTAACTTCTTTCCTCTTCAGATAATCGCCGAGGTCGATTACTTTCTAAGAATGTTTTTCTTCTCTTGTGTTTGTCTTACAGATTGATAAGGGGGCCATCGAAGACACCGCCCTCAACCCAAACCTCACCGATGTCCGCCTTCTTAAAACATGTCTTGTTGAGACACCCGAGGTAATAACAGCATCACCAGGCGACATGACAACGGCTCTTATGTCATCCACCACGCCCAAACCATGTGAGTACTTATCTCATGTGGCGACTTCCAGTTAAGGATAGCTGCATTATGATGCTTTAATTCACTGATATATAGCTCTCAATTGTCTTTTTAACTTAAACAAAGTAAATTGCAATTTACGGATTATTAGGAAAGAAGATATGACCACAAAAAACAAATACATTTCATTTCACTATCACTATTTTGTCTTACTCAATTTCTGTCACACTGTGCATGATTTATTTTCCATAAAGATCACTGACATTGACATCAATATTATAGCGAAAGAATCTTAAACTAGATCTTCCATTTGCTTTCCTCTTAACCCTATTTTAACTGGGCTATTTCAGACCAGGTTTTTTACTGGGGGGGGGGGGGGGTCAATTTGACCCCCCCCTAAGATCTCGGCCGTTTCACCGCCGATCGCCGCGAAAATTTGCATGCATGTCAAGTGAAGTGTATAGAATACTATGGTAATTTCAAATTTTTGAAAAATTCACTCATTTGCATATTTATGGTAATTTATGCAAATAAGGTCATAAAATTCACATTTCGGCCCATAAATCATAGATTATTCATATTTAAGTATTCTTTTTCACTACATATATTTATTAGACCATTTGGAATAATAATACAACACAAAAAATTGGAAGAGCCAGGTTATTCCTTATGTTATCTCTTGTTTTTATAATTTCTTATGTATTTCATTGTTTTTTTAACTTTTGTATTTTATTGTTTTTGTTGTTTTATTTCATTTATAACTACAATTCAACTATTTTGACCCCAAAACAAACATCTAAACTTTAAACAAGACTGAATAACCAATGTTTTATCTATTTTTAGGAAAAATGACTTTTACATATGTTTTGTACACAAATCACGAAAATGAGTGATTTTCGGGCTAACATGCGAAGACAAAAGGTCACGTGACCTTGTAACCGTAGGTCCGATTTTCAAAAAAATTGTTTTAAAAGATGTGTAAGACTCGAAAGTAAAAAGTCAGGAGAGGAAAATTTTATACCTGCCGCGGTTTCGGAGTAGTCGTGAAATTTCTACAGGGGGGGGGGGGGTCAAATTGACCCCCCCCCCCCCCCAGTTAACGTAGGGTTAAAGTATTACTTTATTTGTAAAACCAGCTCAGAATGAACTCCTCTAAATAGACAATCGTTTGTGTTTTCCTCCATCAGGTGAGTGGCATTGGTTTGCATACTCTGGCTTCAGTGATACGGTTGCTGGGATTGTCATGTTGGTGTTTGCTCTAGCTCTGCTCTGCATCTGTCTGGTGTGTATCGTCAAACTCCTCAACTCACTGCTCAAGGGAAGCATAGCCCTCGTCATCAAGAAGTTCGTCAACGCTGATTTCCCCGGTTACCTGGGCTTCCTGACCGGGTACATCGCCATCCTGATCGGGGCCGTGTGTACCTTCATCGTCCAGAGCAGCTCCATCTTCACCTCGGCTATGACCCCACTCGTAGGGATCGGCGTCATCACACTCGAGCGCATGTACCCACTCACTCTGGGATCGAACCTCGGTACGACCGCGACCGGCATCATAGCCGCCCTACCGAATGAGGGTAAGGACCTCGCCAACGCCATGCAGGTCGCCCTCTCCCACCTTTTCTTCAATATCTTTGGCATCCTGATCTGGTACCCGATTCCTTTCTTGCGTAAACTCCCGATTGGTATGGCCCGCGTCATGGGCAACACCACGGCCAAATACCGCTGGTTCGCCATCTTCTACCTACTCATGATGTTTTTCGTTATGCCTTCTCTTGCGTTCGCGCTCTCCATCGCCGGGAACATCTACCTGTTCGTCATTGGTGGCGCACTCCTCTTTGTCTTCATCATCATCGTCACCATTAATGTCATCCAGCGGAAACGTCCTTCTCTTCTTCCTTCAGTTCTCCGGACCTGGGATTTCCTTCCCTGGTTTCTGCATTCTCTCAAACCCCTCGATTACTTGCTCGGATGTCGATGGTGTCGTAATCGATTCGGCAAGGACAGCGATAGTACGGACTCTATTGTCGCCGTTGCTGACGAGGAGACGAATAACTTCAGTGGTCTTGATAACACAGGTTTTGATACTCCCTTGTAACCGTGACCAGTAAGGCTTTGAACTGCATAAAGCCCAAGACTATTGCAGAAAGACAATTTCCTATTTCTTCCTACCCACTTATGGATGTCATTCGTCTAAATTAGTTTTAAACAGGTTCGGTTGAGTTGTAGTTTTGTTCGGTATTTACTAACCATGTTCGTTATAGATTTCCTTCCCAATGTTAACTAAACTGTCATGTTGTACCACATGCCCCCCCCCCCCCCCAATGGAAGCCATCTTATGAAAATATCTCACTTTTTGTAATTCTTTAGAGGGGGAGGTAGAGTTCTTAAGAATTCTTGTTGGTCATCGATGTTCTGTGCCATATGATTCTGCATTCGATGCCGCGAGATGAAATTCTTTTATTTATTGTGTAGCCTTTTCGAAAGAACACATATTAAAACCATTTTTTATTCATTAAAAATAAATAATTTCGCATTTTGTTTATGGTTTCAAATTGTCAATTCGCACTATTAATATATTCATACTCTATCGACGGGGAAATTATTGAACGCACTACCAAGATACAAGTTCTGTCTTAGAGACCGTAATTGGACTTTATTCGTTTTTTTCAGCTGAGCATTCGATTCTATCCTTTGTTGAAGTCCTGCAATATATGCAAACACTTGTGTTTCTTACTTTTATGGAATCATGCTGTAAATTTCCCATTCATTTAAACATTTCTATATTTTGTATCCATTCACTAAAGTCTTCTCATTAAAAATTATTCAGTACTATATGAATAAACAATACATGGTTATTTAGAGCAATATGTCTGTTAATGTATTTTTTTTAATAGAAAGAACAAGCTAAACTATTTGTAGTCGAAGATCCATAATACATGTACTATAATTTTATAATATTATTCAATCTTCTCTTCAACTTATTGTGATTTAAACTAAACAATACACCAACTCGAACTGAAAATATTCAGAAAGCCATGGATGGAATGTTAATAAACAATATATCTGAAATGATGCATTATTTTAAATACAAAAATGCTGTATATAATCAAAGATGATTTCTGAATAAAAATATGCAAATTAGCAATACAAAAATATGTGTACATATTTCCATAGTAGGAAAAAGCTGCTAATATAATGTTTATATGTATATTTCTGCTGTATTTAAAATTTTATCTTGAGTATTCTATGTTTTGCAATAAATTTGAAAAGAAAAATGCAAATATTTTGAGTCAGAATCTTAATTAGATTGTTGTTCTTCTAATTCCTATCTATCTTGTTCTTATTTTCTATATCTTCAAATTCTTCTTTTTCTTCTTTTTCTTTTCTCCTCCTTCTCCTTCTCCATCTTCCCCTCTTGATCTCCGTCTTCTTCCTCCTCTTCTCCGTCTTCTTCCTCCTCATCTTCATCATTTTTGTTTCTTCTTCGTCTTCCCTTCTCCGTTTTTACCTTAACCATCTCCTCCTCAGTCATGTCCCCTTATTAAACAATATACAAAGCTTATATTTAGGGAGGTATTTGGTAAGAGATATCTGTTGAATATACGATAGTTTTTTCCAGTTTACTTCCAGGTTAACCAAAAGAAAATATGTGAAATCTAGTTCGAAATGCAAAATTTGCAAAAAGAAAATATGGCTTCTATGTCGTATTATAAAACAATAGAGAAAATTCACACAAGGCTATACATATTCAAGATGGATGGGGGACAATGATTTAACTTTAATAGTAGTGTAATAAAGATATGTTAGATTCCCTGGTGAGGTTTCATGCAAATAGTGTTTGTGATAAGAATAAGTTGTGATAATAACTAGGAAGATAATCTGTGAATAATATAGACAAAAAGACGTTTGTGATAAAGTTAACAACTAAATTGTTCATATCCCTTATTTTTTTTCGTAACTCAAGAATAAAAGTGAGACTGGTTGAATTGGGCCTCTGTTGAACGCTTTATATTCAAGCTATTATATGTGTCACATTCTCAGTAATTATTGATCGGGATAAATGAAAATTTTCCAAAATTAAAGAATAAAACAATTTGGTAAGGGGATGAAAGCTTCAGCTGTTAACATATGCACTTCAGTGAGCATCAGAGAAGAAAAAAGTAACTAACGTTATAACGAAAACCCTGATAGATGGCGCTACACCTTAAACTACTTCTGTTCCCATGGATTACCATTTCTGATTTGCATACTCGGATAGGCCTCCACTGTTGCCCATAAAGCTGGAATAACTTTTTTTTTCTTACCTCTGTTCATGGGATGATTGTGTCGTCAGGATGTCTTCTAAGAACTAAAGAAAGTGGACAATCAAGATTTATCAATAAATTTATGAGATGGTATTATCTATCAAGAATAAATCTTATTGTCAGTGGGCAACAATCGAACATAGTTTTCAATTAGAAAGTTTGCTCAGTATACTCTTGCTTAAAAGATTAATAATATTCTAGGTTTCTATGGCGCTTGATACATCTACCAAGTCTGAGTGTCGTTGCCGAGTGGTTAAAGGCGCTTGACTGGAGATTCGAAGGTTGGGGGTTCGAATCCAGACACGGCACTAATATCCTTTGCATTTGCTACTCTCCACCCAGGTGTTAAATGGGTACCTGGTAGGATGCGACCGTCACTGTTGGTCAAACAGTTTTTCGAGCGTCAAGTAACGCCTGGCTGCATGGCTGCTCCCTAGGGAGTGGAGATTGTGCACACAGTGTGTGCGGGCAAGTATTGAATCCAATGACTGGGGTAATAATTGGTTGCAGGCATGTCCTTGGGAGTATTACAGTTATCCATCACCAGGCGCCAATATACAGACGCTCATAAACGGACCAATCAACAATGACTTTCTCAAACTTCCGCATTTTGTACCCACTTCAAACTCTGTTAAAGGTAATGTAAAGTTTTGGGCATTTTTGAAAATTGGACGGATAGTAATTCTTTAAAATGTTGATATATTTTGTTGCCCCTATGGATGTCATATAAGCTCTAAAAAATATAGCCCCTAAAACACTTCTGCTTTCGAAAAAAATCAAATATTTCAAATAGCGCCTAAGGCCATTCCATGGTAGCTTCGACCATGGCAATCTCAGAATATGTAGTTCTGATATATAATTTCCAAATGCGTATAGCAAATCGGCCGATTGTAGTCAAGAAACATCGTTTACAAGCTAAAGTAATATCAGTCTTGAGAGGGAGCTCTACAACATAAAGAGTTTATTATTTACAATCTCATCACTTTAGATTCAATTTCAACCGCGACAACAATCATTGCAAATTATAAAATCGCACATGCTTCCAATATGTTCATTTGAACCGAATTCATGACCTTGTATTCATAACTTTGTATTACCTTTAAAAGTACTATGTCCCATTTGCAGGCCAAACAAATGAAAAGGTTAAATTCCAACGGCATTTGAAAGATAATACTAATTTAGAACTTCCCTAAAAACAAGGGGGCTTGAAAATGTCTTTAAGTGGGAAAATAACGACTATCAGTTGTCGAATCGACTTAGGAGCTATAGAGCCAATAAGAAATAGTCTGATTTTTCAGACCATTGTACCGAATGGTCGTATGTTTTATGCTGCGCAAAGATTCAATCAGTTTAATTTTGGCCATTACAAGAAGTGGGTTATAGATGTAGACAAATGCTCAGGTACCCTTTACAGCTCATTTTATGTATGTTATTACCAAAGATGAAAAAAGCCAGTCAGTCACTCAATAGTGTCTGACAGTGAAGTCTAGCAAGTAAACGGTTTCCTTGCATAGTTTGAATATTAGGACACTGCTTAACGTTTAAATTTCACAGATAGGAGATACATGACATATTCATAATTCCTGTAAAGTTCTACAGAATTTGATGTTGGCTGCAAAAGGGACATAGTATCTTTAATGTAACATCTAACAAAAGAGGACTTACGAATAAAAAATCATGAAAAGATACACTGACCAATGCAGCCTCGAAGCAATTAATTTAAAGAGTTCCAAGTCTACGGATCGAGCTGACTTGAGGATGAGAAAGATGTTTTTCTAGTTCTCATTACGCAGTGAATACTATTGTTATTGTCACGTTTTTGTTTGCACATTAAAGCTATAACTTCTTAAATTCCGATTTATTTTTAAATACAAAAAGGAGGGCATGACACAAATGGGATGAACATAAACCTGTGATAATGTGTTACCTGGCGGCTTGGCACCATGCTACTGATTGTCAATATTCATTATGAAGGGAAGGATGACATGCAGATTACTATAGATGGCGCTAGATTAAAGACGGTAAAACTTCCCTTAGACTCCCCCCTCTCATTATCTATTCCCTCTCTCTCTCTCTCTCTCTCTCTCTCTCTCTCTCTCTCTCTCTCTCTCTCTCTCTCTCTCTCTCTCTCTCTCTCTCTCTCTCTCTCCCCTCCCCCCTCCCTCTCTCTCTCTCTCTCTCTCTTGACAGGGGGGGGGGGGGGGCATGCATCGCTCTCGTTCTCCAATAACTCTACCACCCCTCACATTTCTCCCTTTCTCTGTTCTCGAAATCCCAAGACTGTTGATTCTTAAAAAATACTTATTTCAAGTTCCTTAGGAGGGGGCGTATAAAACTGTACTGCAAACGTTCGATCTATCACACTTAGCCGTACTGTCAATTTTCAGGTCCCCCCCCCCCCCCTCCGTTCGCTTTGATAAAAGAAAAGTATAACACGAACAGAATGGAGCATGGAGCTATAACTAGCACCTATAACAAAAAAAAGGGGGGGGGGGAGAGGTCACATGGCAACCCTCTATGCGCCTTCATTTTAAGCCTTTTACTGGATTGTCCACCGGTGTAAAAACTGTTTGAAACTACGGCAAGGCCATGCAAAGTTAAAATGAGAGTCCCAGTGAATTACTTTGAAAGTGCATGCATTGAGCACGGAGTTTTCTACGCGATACAATTCTACACATAAAAAGATTTCGTTTGACTTTTCCTACCACATATTAGACGTAGGAAAGAAATTTAAAAAAGAAAGAGAACGAAACAAGACAAAGTATTAAACATGTTTAATTGGATCTCTACAATGGATCTAAACTATACTTCCTTATTCGTCTCTTATTAATTTTTGCTAGTAATTCCGCATGAAGAAACCAAACCAAGGCTTTTGTATCATGTATATGGTGTCTTATTCTGTAAAGCACTTGGAGACATATGAATGTAAAGCTCATCTTATCGTGGAAATACTGATTATTCTTAATCAATAATATTTAAAACGAAAAAAACAAACATTAAACGTTGCCTTTGGGGCTTACAAAAGCCGTA